CATCTAGAGCTCTGTCGTCGGCCAACTGGTCAATTTCCATTTCTTGACCAGGAGTCAGGGTACCCAGCTTGTCACGTTGTTTTCTTCGAACGGTGTGTTTGATGTAATTGCGGTATTCAACGATGTTTTTCGCCCGCGATGGTTTACTGCGAACTGGGGGCATTTTGACAATCTACCAGTCGCTCACAAATTTTGAAATGAGCGCGAACGATATCACGATATCGAGGGGGTGGGGAAGAGGGGGAAAGGGTAAATATTCGAATATTCGAATTTCAAAATATTGTGTAGGTGTGTGTGTGTTTATATTGCACTACTTGAGTCTATGACGATCTAGCACATTGGGCTCCTCTCTGACCCAGGCCACACCTTGTGCAGTTCTCTTATTCTCTTATGTTAGTTTAAAGATCATTGATATATTCCCCATGATGAATAGCCATTCAGCTCAGTATTTACCCGTGAAATTCAGCAGCCTTTTCCACGGAACCTTCTACCCAAAAAAAATAAAAATGGTAGCAATGGAAGCTGCGTGCGGGAGAAAAAGTCTCAAAAACTTGCAGCCCCAGCCAGATGAGACCTAGACACCGGGACTGTATGAGGCGCGCATATTCATCTATATGTCCCTTCTTTGTAACAGTCGAGGTCGACTTGATCCAATCCACCATCTCCGTATCGGGTGCTGGGTACGCTCCGAAAACTCATCAGATAGCTTTTCCTCCATGATTAAGGGTTGGTGATGAGTAGGACTTCATGTTACGGCGTGCGCAAAGGATACTGGGGATCGCTGTCTGCCGAAGGTAAGGTATTAATAACTGTTAGGATTATAGCTGCTAACGAAGGATACTTCGATATAATTCGATTGGCGAGGTGCCAGGTAGTCAAAGGTTGTAGAACTACAGGATAGTCGAAAGACATGAAGTCAAGAAGTCAAGTTAACGAGCAAGCGATCAAGGCTGGTACCTCAGGGTGAACAGAAGTACGAAGAATGTAACGAAAAACGAAATACTGAGATTATTGGACTGTGATAATATAAGATTATAATATAGTGTAATTGCTAAATTGCGAGATCAAAGATCAAAAGAACGAAAGATTGAGGAGCTGGAGAACTACTATGTGGCAGCTCCAGCTTCCTTAAGTCTAACTCGAAACAGTACTTGAGCTCAATTAAGACTATGACAAATGTAGTTATGACGCCAGCCCCTTCTTCTCTAGCTGTCGGAGTTTTCTTGGAAACCTTCTTAAAACCTTCTCCTATCACCTTTTTCTGAGGACCTTCTCCTTGAAACCTCTTCAAGGATGCCTGGCCATAACATTTCAAACCTACCATCTGGTCTGATCGTGGTTAGCTTCATGATAATGGTGATATGGGAATGTGTTAAGAGATGAAGACGATACAGACCGCGAAAGCGATTGGGAATCCTCGTCGAATTAAGGACTTTGTTTTTCATTCTCGACTCTGCAGACTCTGCAGACTCTACAGTGAGAGCTGGAGGTTCGTAGGAGACACCACTGACAGGTGTTGAGAATAGTCCCCCTGGCGTTAAATGTAAAATATATAAATAATATAATATTTAACAATCCTCATACTTTCCAGAATTTGTGGCATGGATAATGCGAAAAGGAGACAAAAAGAAGCCGGTAGGGTAGCCGCGTTCCAGGAGTGGAAAAACTCATGGACACGTCCAGGGAACGAGATACTATCTGGTCATCGAGCTTTGGCAGACCCTGAACATTAGAGAGCTGCAAATATTGTTACAGATAGTACAACAGGCAGGAAAGGATTACACATAGAAACACACCCTCAAATATCCACCGGAACCTTAGTAGGGCCCAAAGCAGTATTGCAGTTCACATAAGAAATGAGCATATTGGTCTCTATTCTTATCTGCATCAAAGGAAAGTTCCCGGAGTGATCAATCCCTAATTCCAGTGTGGATATCCGTCTCATAATGTCAAACATATGGTCTTGGCGTATCCTCAGTGGGCAATGGGAAGAGAAGAGGTGCTTCGAAAGGCAAAAGATAGGTCATTTGCGGCAATGATGAACAGCCAACGTGATATAGAGAGAATCACAAAATGGATCCTGGCAAAAGGCTGGTTTGAACAATTCCGGCTTGCAGGAGAAGTAGAAATAGCATTTGACGTAAAGATGAGACGATGTGGAGAAGGATAAGATGGAATTCACACTGTATAAGCAGTGTTAACGCACTTCCTGTAGGAAACCTCAGAAAACCAATAGACACAAGACAGACAGTTTTAGGGGGTTTTTACCGAATTTGGTTTCCTCCTATGTAAATAGTAAAGCTAGATACACCTGCATGGGCCCGTAGGGTACCTGAAAGTGCTAAATGAAATCAAATCAAAAACCTCATACTTTATGCGCCACAGTTCGGCCTCTGGCAACAGTCGATACATCTTCTGAACCCTTGATTCGTAAACTTTATCATAACCAAGTATGCTTCTATTGCATGCTTTTAATCCAAGGCGGTGGTGAGCGCTGTCGGTACTTTCCGTGGCCCCGTGTCGAAGCGGATGGTAATCATCTAGTCTTTAGAAACGTGCGGCAGCCTTGAGCCTGCGTTCCTCGAGCAGAATATGTACTGTTGGAATGTTAGTCTCCCTTCTCAGGACTGTGATGGGCAGAGTTCGCCAGGTTGGTAGAACCACAAGGATTCTGAAGGCAGAAGATCGTCTACGCATTTTCCACTTGAAGGATTTCGCTAAACGCCCCGATTTGCTTCCCTGGTTGGCCCCGGGCACCAGAATTCCGCAGCTTTTTTTTTTTTTTTTTTTTTTTTTTTTTTTTTTTTTTTTTTTGCATCAGATTTTAATTGCATATGCAGCTATCTAGCTATGACACAATATCAAAGAAAAGTACAGAATAGATGACTCAATTTACTATAGAAGCACTCATGCCTCAGATTTCATTTGCAAGTACCACTGCGAAGTTATGGTGGCTTTTTCTTCACCCCAAGTCAACCCTCATCCGTGAATACCCACTCAGGGGAACGTCTCAAAAACCCTGAGTTATCCAGACATGCCTTCATCATCTTTCAACTTTTCTCCGCGCGATATGTGATCTGAGGTGTCTCCTTCCCAAGTGGAGTAGGTGCCCAGGCTACTCAAACCATACCAGAGAACACCACCAGGAGGCGGACCACAACACCTTCCATCGTTTGCTTGTTTTTATAGTGTCAACTGCACTCTCGCAAGCGAAGTCTTGGCGCGCACAAAGCTTAATTCGTAAAACTCCTTGCCAAAATTCGGAATCTCATGCCCTTCGAGGTTATATCCGTCCTTCGCATCATCTTGTCAACTTGTCCAGATCCCTCTCACATCCATCCCATAGAACTGTCTCCCAGATTTGTGCGCCACGCCTTGCATCCTCCGGCGGGTATAAATATCGGCGTGGGCGTGTATTTGGTGACCAGCTGAGGCCAGAGAAGGTCGAAGAGTGGTGTGGTCATTGGAATGAGGATGTACTTGGTCGTACTTGTAGACTCGATGAGACGAAGATAGGGGTCAAACTCGTTAGGAGCGAAATAACGAAGTGGATGAGTAATTTGGATTTTTGCCTCGTGGGCCAACTTCTTTGATATTGCGAAATTTGACTGAACTTGGCTCTGGGAGAATATTTCACTCCCAGGTTCGTAGAGGACACCGCGTACAGGTGTTCAGTCTTGCCCTCCAATTCCGCAGCTTGGATCGCGCGTAGCACAGCTATCGTGCGAATTACAGTGATTAGTAATTCGGGCTTTGGTTCATTTGACGAAGTGGATTTACAGGGTAAGACTGCGATCAAGGTACACTCAGAGCCATCGGATGTCTTCGGACGCTTGTGTATCACGAGTCCTCACCTTTTTGGTCGGAATTTCGTATCCTCTGGCTCTAGGGCCGAGTAACTAAATTACTTTGGTCTTATCTGAGTCAAAAGAAACGGTAATATCAACATCCTACCATAGGACTATATTGACCTGTCGCTGGATAGCTACTCCAGCTTCGTTTAGGGTTGAGCCTATGCCGAGGATAGCTATGTTATCCGCCCAATCAAATCTCCGAGCACTGCTCCCCACAACTTCAGCCATATAGAGTAGAAAAAGTATAGGAGACAGTGGCGATCCTTATTGGACTCCGCAATCTAGAAAAATTGGGTCAAGTACTCTGTCGTTAAGTCTTGCGCGAGCGGATCGCCCATGTACAAAGGATTTTATCCTGGTGATGGCTAGTTCTGGCTACTAAAATTTAATTTCTTTCATCCTTTGCAGCAGCCATCCGTGAAGTGCACCGTCAAATACCCTCAGTGCGTCCAAAATTAAAATGACTGCTTCCTTCTTCTTTTGCATGGCATTTTGCACATTGTGGGTGACGCGTGAGACAAGGTCGTTCGTAGATCTGCCAGAAAATACTCCGAAGAGCTGCTACGGTACCGCCTTACAAGAAAGGGAAATGCAAGCCATACGCCATGCAATTAGTCTCTCGGCACCTTTGCCGAGGGAGGAAAATAGTGCAATATGCATCTATCCTTTGGCTGTATTGTGATCACGGCCAGACTTACAAAGAAGAATCACATCGGCTGGCTTGAATGCTTCTGGGAGTTAGTTCAGTCGTAGTGGGCCCTCAAAAAGCACTCTCACTGCACGGGTAAGCCGCCCTAAGAAGCTGTTAAGAAATTGCGTCTGCTCTGGGGGCTTTCATTTGGCAGGCCGTTATTGATAATCCACTATGGAGGGACGTGTGAAATTTGCTGCCGATTCCCTAAATATATATAGGGTCTCTTATGGCCTGACTCGAATTCTTAATCTATTGATTGAGCTAGTTCAAATCAGTCACTTACCGGTCTTTACATAGTTACATATATAAGCAAAATTAATTTGCAACTGAAGTTTTGCAAAAACCGAAAAATGCAGCTCAAAAAGTGAGATTTGTAACACGTACACTCGGCATCATATTTTTTTCACTTCTCATTTCACGATTCAACTTTTCTATCTGATTTTATTATCAACATGTGGATTAGGTTCTGCATCTCCCTTCTCCTATCAGGGTTAGTTCATCAAGTCAAGTGTATAGATAGACCATACTCGGATATGTACCTTCCAGATGGAACCAATGGCTTCGTATGTGGAATTAATTATTTTACGATTGAGTATGCACGGCAAGTGGCAAATGTAATTGTTGACACAATTTTCTTTGAAAATCATTTCCAAAAATATCCGAAAATATTCGAAGATACACATCTCTTTAATGTCAAATCAGACATTCTTCTCTCATGGCCTGCTAAGCCCGATGGTAGAGATTACATCAATGGTAAATGAAACCCAAAAGTTTCTCTTTCTGTACACGAAGACTGCAACTGAACTAGGGACTAGGGAATCCAGGGAAATTCCGTCTCATCATCAATATTAGAGGTCAAATCATGGGTATGGTAATTATAGACTACAGTAACCTCAATAAAAATGTCAGTTTCGAGAAATGTAAACCAGTACACAGTTCAATTGCTGAAGACAATATCCAAAGTAGACTTTTGGATGAATGCTGGAGAATAGCTTTTCCCAGATACGGGTTTAATTGTGGCGCAAAATATCTCCCACTATCCACAGTTAAGAGTGGGAATGATATAGTCTCAAACTACTATTTTCAAAACGCACTGAAGGCTCAAGTCAATCCCAGTTACTTTGAGAAATATGAGGGTGATCAATTTATCGGAGATGATCTTCGCGTTTACCCTCTGCATCGAACTTCAACTATTAAAGCTAAATCTGGTATTTTGATTCCCCGATACCTGCTTATTCAGAAATCTAATATCCCTTCGCTAGGCCCACTTAATCAATTTCGTGCTGTTTTTGAGTTGAAAGATGGTGAATTCAAGGGGATAATCAATCTAAAAGATGAGGAAGCAAAATGTGTATCTATATGGGATTTATCATCGTCCTCATCCGAAACAATTTATAGTCCATCCTCTATCTTACACATGGAGCGAGTGCTAGACAAATATTGGCCCAAGGCTTGCTTTGGATACTGGTTTAAATACAAAACAATATGGCTTTTTATAGAGTTCGCCTTGAAAGATTGGTCAGCGAATTGGGGTGGTAGAATACTCAATTTTCCCATTGTCGAACAGAATGGATCACTTTTCTGGCCAGTGAGAATCCCAGAAACCCACATCAAAAGTAAATATTCCTTGTAAATTAAACGAAAATCTGCTAATTTTACAAATCTAGACTTCGCGCATCCGTTCGCGATAGGTTATGATAAAAATCTTAATTCTTACGGTTTGTATCAAGCTCGAGTACACGATGGTATCTTGAGCAATTTTCGAAAATGTCTTGATCTTCCTCTCGATGATATTCACAGACTTCAGGGAAAGCTCAGCCCAGCCACATAGCTCTAGAAACATCGCCCTTTTAGTGCGCTTTCAAAGCCTATTCCACCATGCCTGAAGCGTTAGAAAAGTTCCTCAACCAAGTAATTGTTTTGATATAGAAAGCTTGGGCGTTTATATGTTGAAATGGAATTTATCCTGTTGGGACAATGGGGTTCACTCGGTATCATACCTTAAAATTTCGAAAATGCATGTGGCACATTTCTGTATATCTTCCTGTTCTAATAGATAGTAGTAGTATGTCTATATGTAAGTTCATTGACGTGCTAGTTAATTGGCACCCTTCTCACTCCTTTGAGAGCTCGAGCACGGGTGGCGCCGGGCTGAATCAGGTTGACTACCATATAAGTACCATAAACCTCGTCGCAATGTGTCATAGCTAGATAGCTGAATACACTTTGAATGAAAAAATAAAAAAACCCCTCGTCCCACCTGGGTCGAATCATACCAGTCCGACCGTCAGAAATCCGCCGTATATACGCCACAGCATAAATTCCTCCTCAGCCTCTGCTACCACGCGCCTGAGCCCTTGATTTCATCTATGACTGGGAGGTACATATGTCAACCTAAATCCGAAGGTCGCCTCAGCACTGCGCCTTCATGTCACACCGCTTTGTTGTTGTCATCATTTATGGTCTGGACATCCGCTAAAGAGTGATTACCTTAGTATTGAAATGTATAACCCACTACTTAGTTCGTGGACTTTATTGGTAAAGGGAAGCTTATGCAATAATGAAGGATAAAAGGATGTCAATTCGATTACTCTACTAATCACAGGTACCAGACTCCTTTTAATCCCAATAGATAGCCCGTGCGGGATCTCCTATTAACAGCAGTAAACAACGCTAGCACAGCACGAACCTGGGAGTGAAATATTCTCCCAGAGCCAAGTTCAGTCAAATTTCGCAATATCAAAGAAGTTGGCCCACGAGGCAAAAATCCAAATTACTCCTCCATGTCGTTATTTCGCTCCCAACGAGTTTGACTCCTATCTTCGTCTCATCAAGTCTACAAGTACGACCAAGTACATCCTCATCCCGATGACCACACCGCTCTTAGACCTTCTCTGGCCTCAGTTGACCACCAAATACACGCCCACGCCGATATTTATACCCGACGGAGGAAGCAAAGCGTGGCGCACAAATCTGGGAGACAGTTATTTGAGATGGACTTGAGAGGAATCAGGATAAGTCGACATGATGATACGAAGGAAGGATAAAACCTCGACGGGCGTGAAATTCTGAATTTTGGCAAGGAGTTTTTCGAATTGGGCTTTGTGCGCGCCAAGACTTCGCTTGCGAGAGTGCAGCTGACACTATAAAAACAAGCAAACGATGGAAGGTGTTGTGGTCCGCCTCCTGGTGGTGTTCTCCGGTATAGTTTGAGTAGCCTGGGCACCTACTCCACTTGGGAAGGGGACACCTCAGATCACATTTCGCGCGGAGAAAAGTTGAAAGATGATGGAGGCATGTCTGGATAACCCAGGGTTTTTGAGATGTTCCCCTGGGTGGGTATTCACGGATGAGGGTTGACTTGGGGTGAAGAAAAAGCCACCATAACTTCGCAGTGGTACTTGCAAATAAAATCCGAGGCATGAGTGCTCTTCTTGTAAATTGAGTCATCTATTATACACTTCTCTGATATTGTGTCATAGCTAGATAGCTGCATACGCAATTAAAATCTGATGCAAAAAAAAAAAAAAAAAAAAAAAACGCTAGCACAGGGTATACGCAATCTCCATTCGCCAAACACCATTCGGTCGGGACTACTAATTATCGAGCCTAGTAGGATCGACAAAGTATATCCCAACACAGAAATAATAGAAAACTCAACAACCAAACCCTTCATCCAGGGTGATGAGATAGAGATGTGGGCAGAAAACCACAATCTCTCTTGCCTTATAATTGGAGAGCCGACCCATAAAGCTGGCAATACGCTGGATCTCGCCTGGACAAACATATCTGGAGCCAGCGCTTGGGTCGATCGGGAGGAGTGTATGACCAGCAACCATCTTCCGATCCGCGGAATCGTACCTGCAGCAACCGTTACAAGTGACACGGCTCCAGCAAAGATCAAGGTACCCAAGGGAAATCTGCCAAAGTTTGCGCGGGCCACTGCAAAATGGGTACATCCGCTCTCAGATTTGAGTACAATAGAGAAAGTGGATGCATACGCTCAGGAGATATGCTTCCATCTCACGGAGGCCATTAAAGCAACTGGAACCCGGGTCAGAAAGGAAAGCGGAAAATCTGCACCATGGTGGACTCCTAGGTGCAAATCCGCACACGCCGAATACCGAGCCTCAAAATCATTCTCACTGCGGGCTATCTATGCGAAGAAGTTACGTGAGACTATCGCAGCCGCCAAGAAGGAGCACCAGACACGCCAAGTCGAAGAGATGACATCTCCGGCAGACATATTCAAGCTGATGCGCTCGGCCAACCATAGACAGGTCAGACCTCCTCCGCCGCTCAACTATAACGGTTCCATTATCACCGACCCGTACGAGCGAGCCACAGTTCTCCGTGATGCTCTTCTTACACGTCACCAAGCATCGGACGATCTTCCTACGTGCACTGCTCCCAGTAATAACCGGATACCCTGGGAAGACGACATATCGGATAACGAGGTGCGAACTTGTACCATTGGCTGTACTAGGGCAGCCCTAGGAGCAGATGGAGTCACAGTTGAACTTCTTGAGGCCTGCTGGAAGACAATCGGACCGTATGTTACGCAGCTCTTTAAAGCTTGCATACGGCTCGGCACGTATCCATCTTGCTTCAAACTTGCAGAAGTGGTACTATTGGAAAAGCCAAATCGGGATCCAACTACAATTAAAGGTTGGAGACCAATCGTTCTACTCCCGTGCCCAGGCAAAGGATTAGAAAGACTCCTGGCCAAGCGAATGGCACACCTCGCAATCATTTACGATGTGGTGGGCCATAAATAATTCGGCGCGCTCCCAAAGCGATCTGCAACGGACCTGGTCTCCTGCGTAGTCCATGACGTCGAAGAAGCACGCTCCCAGGGATGGGCCTCGACATTCGTGACCTTAGACGTACAAGGAGCGTTCGATGCACTGCTCCACAATCGCTTGGTTAGACGCATGCAAGCCTAGGGATGGCCAGACTCGATCCTCCGGTGGACGACTTCATTCCTCACACATCGGAAGGTACAAGTGCGTTTCTCCGGTGGAGTCACCACCCAGAGAGAGCTGGTATGTGGAGTCCCCCAGGGATCACCAATTTCGCCATTACTATTCCTTCTGTACATGGCGGAGCCGATGCAAAGAGGCAACCCAGGATCGAGGTTTAGCTACGCCGACGATATTGGAATTCTGGGGTTTGGACGCATAGTTGCTGAATCTGCCGGCGCTGCACAAAGAGAGGTAGACCATCTTCTCGAGTGGGCAGGGAAAAATGCTGTTGCCTTCGAAACGCAAAAGTCTGAAGTCATCCAATTCCCAGGACGACGCCGAGAAGAAGCAGTTGGGGTTCACGTGAATGGAAATCTCATCGAGCACGCTGATCACATTCGCTGGCTTGGCGTACATTTGGATCCGCGACTCAATTTCAAACACCACGTAACCACCTGGTGCGGCAAAGCGATGAAAGCTGCACAGCATATGCGCCGCTTCAACTCTACCTCTCGGGGAGCAGCCCCCGGGCAGTTAGTCGGCGCAGTAGACATGTGCGTTGTCTTGCTAGCAACTTTTGGATCTGATGTCTGGCGGCCAGGGTCCAAACGCCCAACCACACGAGGAATGGTCAGGTCATCAACCTCAAACCTCTGCAGCATGATTGACAAAGCTAACCTGATGGGATTGCGGGCTGCACTTACAGTGATGAGGATAACGCCAAACGTAGTCGTTCACAGAAAAGGAGGAATCCCGCTGGCAAAGGTCATACTAGAGGGAAACCGTCTCCGGCTCTCGGCAAGGCTTAAGACCCTCGATGATAGACACCCGTTGAGGATCCGCGCTTCCGTGTGCCCGAATGTCGGCACTCGAAAGTACAAAAAGACCGCCAAACTCTCTGCCAGACTAGAGATCCAAATGTCACGGTTACAGCGTGCTTATCGAGAGCTCCCGGAAGCAGAGGCCCCCGAGGCCCTGGCGCCGGTAGTCTACCCTAAAAAGTTAGGCTCAAGGCTGACGGAACGCAATGACTGCGTTGGATGGATCAATAACGTGACAGGAACGGACATCTGCGCATACTCAGATGGTTCATCGGAAGGACACGGACGCTCTGCCTGGGGTTTCGTTCTGAAAAAGGATGGGAAAGACATAGGCAAAGGAAGTGGCATCAAGCACGGGGGAGAGGTGCTGGATGCAGAGATAGTAGGAGCAAGGAAGGCTCTAGAAGCCGCACTGGAGTTCTTGGATAACGGAAAGTCTAGGAAAGTAGGAAGGTCGCAGCAAATCCACGTGTTTCTAGACAGCCAGCAGGCTGTAAGCGCACTAACGACGGGCTCATCCTCAACTAGCCTTGAAGATGTACGCAAATTCTGTGCGTCATCCAATAAGGCAAAAATATCAGTGAAATGGGTGCCAGGGCACGCAGGGATACAAGGGAACGAAGAGGCAGACACCATTGCCCGTGCCACCCTTCGAGAGCTACCTAGCCAGGATACACCACCAGGATCATGTACTCTGGCATATCTTCGTGGTCTCATGAATCACCGGCGGCAAAAATTGCTGGAAGACTGGTGGATAGAGGCTTGTCCGCCTAAATACCGCCAACTCAACCTACAGGTTCGGCGACGCAAACCACCCGAACTAGCTCTCTCTAGGCACCTGCTCCGAGAATTAATTGCAGCCCGAACGGGTCACGGCAATTTTGCGGCATACAATCGCCGTTTTAATAACCTACACGCTCCTATGGAGTGCTCTTGCGGGAAGGAAACTACTCCAACCCACTTCATCCACTGTAGCCGCCACGCACAACACACGCGTAGGCTCAGAAAGTCAATGTCCCACGTTGAATTTATCAAAAAGCTTCTCG